TTATCCTCACCACAATTAATAAAAAAATAAACAATACAAAAAAATTTAAAAAAAAAGTGTTAAATAAATTTTGTGTGCTAGATTAATTGTTCATGTACTTGTTTTTTTTGTGTGTGCTAATTTATTTATTCGTGTACTTGTCTTTTTTTTTTGTGCATGTGCTAGATTATTTGTTCGTACACTAGTGGCGGAGCCAGGATTTTGAGCTGAGGGGGGGGGGGGGGCCAACCCCCCCTGGGGGGCCCTTTGCCCCCCGGGTTAAAAAAAAAAAACAATGTTTAAAAATTTTCCGGGGGGGGGGCAAAAAAGTTTGGGGGGGGGGGGGGCTGAGCCCCCCCCAGCCCCACCCTGGCTCCGCCACTATCGTGCACATGCTTTTTTTTTGTTCTGCTATATTTTTGGTTTTTGTTCATTCTTCTTTGGCACAAATGTGCGGAAAAAGATACAGCAACGAAAAGAAATAAAATAAATATAAGTTAACTATTTGTAAGAAATCAAAATAGATGTCATAATCTACATGGAAAAAGAAATAAATATTTTGATAAGAATTAAAAAAAATAAAAATCATTCTATTATTTTGATTAATAATGAATAAATGATCATTAGCACATATGTATATTACATACTATGGAAGATAACAAACTTGCAACTTCGTACTTTCCTCATGTAAAAAAAGTGGAGGAAATGTTTAAGAACGCTGACACTTGTATGGAAGAAGTGATTGAACCTGATTTACAAGATGATACTGAAGTAACAGACTCTGATGACGATCAGGATGCAGAACAATAATTATTTTGCGCATCAGATAACTTGAAATTTTTTCAATTGATTTTGATGTCGTAAATAAAGAAATGGATATCCTTTTCAGCAATCGATGGGTGGAACGGTCATTTTGGGTGTTACAAACTCTATCGATGTCGAACATCTTTTCGTCAGAAAACAGAATTTTTAATGTTTCCTGCTTTCGAAAGTTTGTTCGTATCCAGTTAGCAAATCTTTTTCTTTTTTCTTTGTATTCTTCGTTTAGTGCTGGTTCGACCAAATATTTATATGGTCGACAGCCAAGATCATCCCGAAGAATCCATTGAGCACTTGTTTGAGATATATCTAGCTCAAGTGCAAGTCTTCTACTTGATACCTTTTTTTGTGGTAGCTTCTTTTTTGGCCTTGTTAATAGCACTTTTAGTTCGAGCTTTACGTAGACGACCTGGTGGCGATCTTAAATTGATAGAATCAGTTTTGTCAATCATTCTGCACCATCTTTTAAGAGGTTCCAAACTAAGTATTCCATTCAAATCATAAAAAATCTTCGTCGGATAATCACCATTTTAATATTTCAGAGTTACCAATTTCTGTAAATCTTCGCTTTTCATTATCGGAAAATTCAATCTCTTGCAAAAAACGTTGAGAAATAAAACTGAGGATTGAGCAAACTTTCCCATCATTTATCGACAAGGATCATTGGCCATCAAATAGTCCCGATCTTAATCCATTGGATTACTGTATTTGAGATGAATTTGTGAAAGTCATCGACTGGAATAAAGTGACATCTAAATCGGCCATGATCCAACAACTAAAACGTGCGGTAAAAAAAATTCGAAAAACTGTTGTGTTTGAAAGTTGTGCTTCTTGGACTAATCGATTGTATCACATGTCACAAAATAATGGAAATTATTTAAAATAATAAAAATATCTACGTTTTGTTGAGAATTTGACAAGAAATCTTTCTATAAAATTTTTTTTTTCTAAGATGAATTATAGGAGAGAAATATGCAAAATACTGAGAGGGTCATTTATTATGGGCCACCCGTTATTTATAGACCAAATACAATTGGTTCATCATTTAAAAACTTTATTTAACAATCCAATATAAAAGTATCGTATTTGAAAGAAAAATATACCCTCATTTAGATTCTGAATTTACAAATGATTGTAAGCGTCCTCTATCATACAATAAAGAAGAGGCTGAATATAGATGAATAAGTGTTATTTTATTGGATCATTCATTTTTCAATCGAATAGATTTATATTCTTATATAGAGATAGTTTAGCAATTGAATTTTCAATTTTAAGTTTTTCTCTAATTCAGATCATTATCCGGTTATATTTATGTGTTAATTCTACTTGAAATGAAGCTACATTATAAAGTACAGTAAATTGTTTTGTTTTTTCAGTTGATTCTATTTCATTCTTTATATTTTAGTTCTCAAATCTTCTTGGTACTGTGTATCATAAAGGTAATCTTCTCTTTACACCTGATAGTAATGCACTTATCACACCAGTTGGTAATCGAGCAACTATGATCGATTTAAAAAAGTATTATATATATAATGTATGAACGATTAAAATCAATTAAAATATTTAATTTTAGTGGTCGATCAGAAACATTATCATTTGAAAGTGAATTTAATATAATTTGTTCAACACTCTCATCTAATGGTGCACTTTTACTTGTTATTAATGAAAGTAAGAATTAGATTATTTTGAATTTTAAACTATTTCATGGATGTTCTGTTTTTTTTTGTTAATAGCTGGTCGAGGTTATTTATATAATATCAAATGTCGTACATTGATTGGTATTCATCGTTTTGGACATGATGTACATACAATCAAATTTAGTCCTGATTCTAAGTAAATATAATATTGATGATTTAGATATTATTAATTTCGAATTGATGTTAAAGTTAAAATTCTGACAAACTTTGCTTTTTTTTTTACTCAAGACTTTTCGATATAAGAATAGTTTTTCTTTGATAGATCTGTAGCTGTTTGTCGTGGTAATCGATGTGAAATCTATACATGTCCCAGTGCTGATCGTCAATTTAATTTATTTACATTAAAATTTGTTCTTCGTTCATTTCATGATAAAACAACATGTATTAATTGGACAAATGATTCTCGGTTTGTTAAATCATTGGTTTTGTTTTTTTTTGTTAGTGTATCTATAAACGATAAGTTACTTTTATTTCATAGTGTTGTTGCTGTTGGTAGTGCAGATATGACAACACAAATATTTAGTGTACCTTTACTTAATAAATTACATCGATTTACATTAGCTGGTCATGGTCGTGAAATAGTCGGTGCTTTTTTTGAACAAGATTCACTCAATGTATGTTATACAAATAATTTTTTATTTTGAGAAATAATTTATTAAAATAGATCATGACTATTTGTAAAAATGCTAAAGTAAACTATTGGGTAGCTGATATGGATTTAGCATCTATGGAACCTATGCCATATATATCTGATGAAGATGAAGATGATGATGATGATGAAATGCCAACATCATCAAATGGTCATGATGATGATGATGAACAATTAGATGATACTGTTGAACGACAACGAGCTAAACTTGAACGAAAACAAAAACGTTTAGATCAACATCTTCTTAAAAATCCAACTAAAGATGATATGGTTGTTTTCAAACGAATCAACAAGTAAAGTGGACTGCAAAAGTTTAAGACACATTTATTTTTGAAGTTTTTCATCGAAGATAAAGTAGCTAGGTCAAATCTAAATCATTATTTGGATTTGACCTAGCTACTTTATCTTCGATGAAAAACTTCAAAAATACAAGTGTCTAAAATTTTTGCGGTCCATTTTATATTCAAAAAAAAATCAATTTCTTTCCATGTTGTTTTTTTTTCCTATTTCATAGATTTAATTATAAAGAAACATTTGAAGGTGCTGATCGTAGTGCTTTACTTCTTTGTGCTGATTATCATCAAAAAACACATATGTTAGTAGCTGGATTTTCTAATGGACATTTTTATCTTCATGAAATGCCTGATTTTAATATTATTCATTCATTAAGGTTTAGAAATTATTTTTTGTTTTTTTTTGAAAATTCAAAATATTTATATATTCTAGTATTGGTGATCAACAACAAATGATTACATCAACATTATTTAGTCCATTAGGTGATTGGATTGCATTAGCTTGTCAAAATCTTGGTCAACTTGTTGTATGGGAATGGCAAAGTCAAACATATGTACTTAAACAACAAGGACATTTTAATAATATGACACAATTAACTTATTCACCTGATGGAATGCATATAGCTAGTGGTGGTGATGATGGAAAAGTTAGTTATAGTCTTTTTTTTAAAGCTTATCAGTGCAGTCTACAAAAATTTTTTAAATATAGATCAAATTATGGAATACATCGAATGGTTTTTGTTTTGTAACTTTTTCTGAACATACATCAACAATAACTGGACTTGAATTTGCATCAAATGGACAATTTATTGTATCAAGTTCACTTGATGGAACTGTTCGTGCTTATGATCTTTTAAGGTTAGATAATAATAAACTTTATTTTTTATTTTTTGTTTTTTTAATAACTTTTCTTTTTAAAGATATCGAAATTTTCGAACATATACATCTCCAACACCAGTTCAATTTTCATGTGTAGCATTAGATATTGCTGGTGAAGTTGTATGTGCTGGTGGTTTTGATACATTTAATATATTTGTATGGTCAATTAAAACTGGAAAATTACTTGATGTAAATTTGATATTTTTTTTCTTTATTTTGAATTAATAATAAATAAATTTTCTAATTTAGATTCTTAGTGGACATGAAGGTCCAATAAGTGGATTAACATTTGGTCGTAATACAACACAAACAACATTAGCTAGTTCTTCATGGGATAAAACATTAAGAACATGGAATTTATTTGATAGTCAAGGTTCAAGAGAAACATTTCTATTATCAACTGATGGTTTGAAATAAATAATTTTTTTTTTTTTTATTTATATAAAAAAAAATTTTTTCTTAGCATTATCTTGTGCTTTTCGTCCTGATGGTCAACAAATAGCTGTATCAACTGTTGATGCACAAATACTTTTTTTTCATCCTGATACTGGTCAACAAATGGCATCAATTGAAGGCAAATATGATTTAGGTTATGCAAGAAAAGATACAGATAAAGTTACAGGAAAAAAACTTACATTTGGAAGGTTAGATAAAAACAAAACATATTTGATTTTAATATGAAAGTCTTTTTTTTTTTTTTTTTTGTTGATCTATAGAGCATATCGAAGTATTTCATATACACTTGATGGTAATTATTTATTAGCTGGTGGTCGTTCAAAATATATATCACTTTATAATATTCATGAACAAATTCTTGTTAAACGTTTTGAAATAACTTGTAATAAAAGTTTTGATGGATTAAATGTAAGATTTTTTTCTTTTTCGTTATAATAGAAAAATAATATATAATTTTAAAGGAATATCTTAATCGACGAAAAATGACTGAATTTGGTAGTTTAGCTTTAATTGATATGGGTCAAGATGAAGATGAAAATGGAAAAAATATTCGTTTACCTGGTGTACGAAAAGGTGATCATAGTGGTCGACATTTTAAACCAGAAATTTTAGTTACTTGTGTACGATTTTCACCAACAGGTAAAATAAAAATCAATGATATGTTAATTTTTTTTTTTTTTTTTTTTTGGGAAACTGTAGGACGTGCATGGGCAGCATGTACAACAGAAGGTTTACTTATTTATTCAATTGATAATACAGCTATGTTTGATCCAATTGATTTAAATGAAACAATAACACCATTAACTATTCGACAAACACTTTACGATAAAAATGATTCATATATGGCATTACTTATGGCACTTAAACTTAATGAAAAATCATTAATTACTGAAATTATTGAAAATATTGATTCAAATAAAAGTAAGAAAAAATAATATGTTATTTCAAAGAGATTGGATAGTTTCACAAAAAAATCCTCTGCCATTTTTCTAAAGTGTCTAAATAGGAATGTGTAGTTTTAGTTTATCAATCACGAACTCAGTATAGTTAGCGCATACCGGACCTCGAAATGAGCCAACCGGCCCGGTGGACCGACAACGCTGTTGGGTCGCCCGATCCGATGATTTTATCCTTTTTTAACATTTAGACTCATCTTTGAGGGGAATAGGGGAAAAGTTTCCGTGCTACCCCGTCTTTCGGTGTTAGGAGAAAAAGATGTTTGATCTTTTTTCTTTTATTTTTACTAAATCAAAAAATTCCTTACACACACATAACAACTAACGAGGGAAGGTCTCCAAATGTGAATCATCATTTCGAATCTGGTATTTGCCATTTTGTAGATCTCACTGAGTACAACATATAATATAAAGAGTTCGTCCTGATACTAGACTTTTAAGGAACTACGAGGTACCATAAAGGATATTCCATAATAGCTGATGATAATGTGTAAATGATATTTTTCATATTATGTCTTGACGTAGAGACCTGAAACTTTCAGGAATAAAAGATCTTGATTAAATATATATGTGATAAAAATTTCAACTCCCTACGTCAAGACATAATATGAAAAATACCATTTATACTTTATCACCAGTTATTATTTATGGAACTCGTAGTCCCTTAAAAGTTCAGTATTGGGACGAATCCTTTATATTACATGTTGTACTCAGTGAGATCTACAAAATGGCAAATACCAGATTCGAAACAATGACTCACATTTGGGGACCTTCCCTCGTACGCTACATAACGAATCAACTAGAACAGAAAGAAAAGCGCATGTATATATATATATATATACGTATGAATTAGATTCAGAAATACAAAATACAGAAAAAATGACCCCAGATATATCACATCAAAGAAATAACTAACAAGAAGAACGAGAACACAAAAGAAAACACATAATCCTATCAGGATTAACCGCTAACACTCGGTCAACACTTTTTTCTCAAAGACGAAAAATATGCAATAGCTCTTTGTCGGGAAAAAAAAATTTTTGTAAACGAAAATTTCTTCGGGCCAGTCCATAAAAAGTGGTCCAATTTCGAGATCTGATCTCTTCTTCGCTTCTCAATAACAAAAGCTATTAACTCAATCTCTGTGGAATTAAAATATGAAGCACGATGTGGTAACTGTTGCTAATCACAGAGGAATTGTTTTATTCTATCTATTTTGGAACATATTTCCTTTATCAGAAATGTAATATGGAGATAGTTCATATTTTATAGCGAATCGTTATTATTATATAATCTTTGATTGTATATCAAAAATGTTTGTCAACATTCCTTTGTAATAAAATAGCGATACTTTCTCTTTCATACTGATAATAAAAAAGAAAATATCAAAATTATTTTGACAATGTTCAATAGTTCTATATTTATTATCGTAATAATCAACATAAATCATATGAAAAGAATAATCTATTTATCAATAATTTTTTTCTTTGTAATCAAACCATTGATTTGATTACATAATATAAATAATGATTTATTTATTTAGTTGAACATATTTGTCGATCATTACCACTTCTATATGTTGAATTATTACTAAATTTTATTAGTGAACAAATTCAATATTCTCGACATTTTGCTTTTTATCTATCATGGATTTATAATATTTTAATGAATCATACAAATAATCTTAAACCAAATTCAACAAAAATCTTAACAACATTATGTAATTTAGAAAAAAATCTTACATTAAAACATGATAGTTTAGGTAAAATGTAAGTTAAATAAAACAACAAAAAGCTAAACACGCAAATAATTAATTCTCTTTTTTTTAGTGTTGAAAATAATATCTTTACTATCGATTATTTATCTACAATATCATCAATACCTAAAACAGATGAAATTAATGAAGATATGGATACATCATCTATATCAGGACGAAAACGAAAAAAATCCGAACATATTAATAATTCTATTTCCGAAGAATAAAAGTACAAAGATAAAAACAAGAAATTTAATATTTGTCATTCTGTCTAAATAATTTGATCTGCAACACACACACACACACAAACACGTGAAACAAAAAAAAAAAAGAAACATTAAAGGGAAAAATGATGTTTATTATAGTTCATTTTTTTTTTGTTTTTGTTTTTTTTGTTGGTATGGAATGTCGTCGATAATCGACTGACTAGAAGAATAACGTTGCTATTCGGGATATTGTTATTATTATTAAATCATCAAAACAAAAAAATAATGCTAAGATGAAATATGTTTTGATATTGATAAATAACGTTCATCAGTTATAACAACACCTTTTGCAACACATATTCGATCACGTCCATCAATTAAACATGGCCATATATATTCAATAATTGTGTCACTTTCATTATCAGATGTATGAAAACGTTCATGAATTTGTTTATCATATTTTATTGTTTGAAATTCAATATAAAAAGGTGGATTTTGATTGACAAGGCCCCATCTATAATAAATATAGAATTTTTTTCAATAATGAAATTAATATAAAATTCAAGTATAATGTGAAATATACTAAACTAAAAGTGTAAGCCGATATTATTGATCGGCGTTGGTAGCTGAAATTTTGAAAGAGAAAAAAACGATAATAGAGAACTTATTGACAAGAAATCAGACGGTAACATTTTTAAAAAATGATTTGGAACGACGGAAATTTTTAATAATCGAATATCTACTTTCGTGTCGTGACAGCGGCTGATGAAGGAACATTTTCAGGTATCTCGCTCCAATTGCGTTCGATAGAGGACCTTGACTAGGTAAAAAAAAAACTCAAAAGGATTGCGGTCGACAGCTTTTTCTTCGGGAGTTACGACCAATTTTTCAAGCAAAAACTAGCATAGAAAGAAAAATTCATAGAGAGCCGAAATTTGTTTTGGTGGTAGTCTTAAGAGTTCTCTATATATTCTGAAAGTTTCACAATATTATCACTCTCTTTTCTCGAGTTATAAGACATTTCTATAAGTAAGGGTGTGAGTGTTGCCCATATCTTCACCATTACTTATCTCGAAAAAAGAGAGTGATAGTATTGTGAAACTTTCAGAATATATAGAGAACTCTTAAGACTACCACCAAAACAAATTTCGGCTCTCTATAAATTTGTCTTTTTATGCTAGTTTTCGCTTGGAAAATCAGAAAACTGGTCGTAACTTCCGAAGAAAAAGCTGTCGATCAAAACTCTTTTAGACTTTTTACCTACTCGAAGTCCTCTATCGAATGATATATAAACGAACGAAATACCTGGGAATATTTCCTCGTTAGCCGATTGGCTTATACCTCTACTGAGAAAATATCACCAACTGATACTTTCTGTTTGAGCTCATGATCAAGACTCATAAGATTCATTCCAATGTTACTTTGTTACAAAGAAACAAGCATAACAAATTTTTGTAAAAATGATACTGCTGTATTTTCTATTAAAAAGTGTTTTTTTGTATCTCAACAAAGGAACATTTCTACGAGCTGAGTGTTTTTTTTAAAACTCATATTACGAATGTACACTAGAAGATACAAGAGAGAATGTACTTGATCTATACAGAAAGAAAATAAATGTACTGGAACATGAAAATTTAAATAAGATATATTTCGTGAAGAGAAACCTGTTTCTACGGACTAGACGAATCTTTTTGGGCTTGTTCTCTACTCTATGAGCTATGCCAATGAGTTCAAACAGACGGTATCAATTGGTGATATTCCTTCATATCTTTAATGTAGGCACGATCAAGGCCGGTCAAAAGTGTTTAAGGTGATATTTTCCTTCACTTTTAACAATTTATTAATTCAACTTTTTTAAATCAGAAATATATTCAAAAGCACTGTTGCTATTATCTAATACTATTCTTTTTCTCTTTTAAATACGTACAGTCAGTCAATTTTCTTTTTATATGTATTCCATAATCATTTATTATAATGCAATACATATAACATCTTTTTTTCTCATTTTATACGTGAGTGATAGAACATATGTTGTTCACATGAGGGAAGTTGTTATTGCTTATGAGACCAGAAATATGTGCCTTCTGTTTAGAATAAGAAGATGTTCATTCCCAGGAAAATTCCCTTGAGGTGATTAGAAATTATCTAATATAAGAAGATGTTCACATGGATAAGTTTTACTGTGTACTTTTGATTAAAAAATCTGGTCCAATCTCTGTTCTATTCTATATTCTATTGATTCGAATATTCATTACAAGGGACGAACAGTAACTTCTGAGATTTTTCTATAAAACTCATTATACATCTTATCATGAAACAGAGAATATTATGCTAAAAAATAGATATCTAACAGATGGTGAGAACGAAAGTCATACTTCGAACAAACTAAACACTTAAGCTTCAGAATTATATCCTTCTTTCAGTACAATTCAAATGTATCATATGCTATCAATAGATTAATCTAGATCAATATAAATCCCAATAGAGTAAATCAAATCATTTATTTTTTTTATTGATACATACGCTGTTCGACATGCTGAATTAATATATTTAAGTAATTCATTACAAGTTTTCAATACTGGATAATCATATAATGTAGCCCATAATTGATTTTCAACTTCCTAAAATAATAAAAATTATTAAAACAAGCAAAACAAAAAAATCATTATGTTTTCATATATATATGTATATATACATATGCAATTTTTCCAACATCATATTTTTGTATTGTACTTCTTAGATATTTTTCAATTGTTTCTTCTATTGTTATTGAATTTTTATCATTACTTAATTGAAGAATTTGTTTAATTTTATTTCGTATATCTTTTGCTTGATTTTGTGCATGACGAAAAGCAAGCTAATAAAGAATAAATAAAATAAAACAAAAAAAAAAAACTTAAAAATAATTTAACATACAACAACAACAGAAAAAAGTAATTTTGATTTAAGATCTTCAGCATCAGACATTTCACGAACATTATCTAATGCATCAAGTGCATCGATTCGTGCTTGAGAATAAAGAGAATTATATGAACGAATTAATTCAGTTGGACGAGATATTTGATTTAAATCTTCAAATTTACCACCTTTTTCTAATTGACGTTGAGCTTGTTCAGCTAATCTATATAGACAAAAAACAATAGTTCTACAGATAATATTTAACATTAGATAATAAATCATTTAAACGTAATGTAGAAAACATTTTTGTAAATAACAAATAACTATAAGATAGTTTCTGGTATTTTCTCTTGTTTCAGAATTAATAAATCAATATGATTAACCTATAAATGTCATACAGATACATATTTCCTTCGTAGAGTTTTCTGTTATTCGACTAGATAAATCGCACAAGAAAAGATTTTCTACAATCCTATATGATAATAATAATAATTCAGCTGCGAAGTAGGATCCGTCATAATTGATTTAGAAAATGTAAAAATTCTATTAATCATATGATTTGTTTGTCTATGATTATGCACACTTTCCATAATTAAACTTCATAGATATTCATCTCTACTATTCATATAAATCTGATCTAGACATATTAAATTGTATGATAAGACTAGATAAGATTGATTTTACTGATAAAGTTTTTTGATTTGTTTTAAATAAATTACCAAAAAAAAAAAAGAAGAAGATAATGATAATATTGTATATTTAATTTTGTCCAATATTTATGCTCAATAATGTTCTATATACGCTTATTTCATTGTTTTAAATTGAAAATATTCTCTATTCTATTCAAAAAATTGATCTATCATTTAGATAAGAATACAAAATAGAATTTTTGTTTTTTTTTTCTTCTTCTTCTATCATTTGAACTTTACCGTTCACGCATTTGTTCTTCACTTTTTTGTAATCGTGTTATAGTTTCTTTTGATTTTTGTAATTCATTTTTTAATTGTTGTAAATCATTTTTTAATTTTTCTTTTTCATCATAATCTGAACTAAGTGATTGTTGTTCCATATTTGCTGTTATATTTCCTAGTGAATTTATTGTTGTATTTAGAGGTGAAAGAGATTGAAGAGATGTTGTCGGTGGTATAATAGATGTTAATTGCTGTTGAGCAAGAGGTCCATTAGCTAATAGACGATTTCGTTGTTCACGTCCATTGATTGTTAAAGGTTGTAGTGGAGCTAAAAATAAATAAATCAAATAGAATATAGATTGATTAATAAAAAAACAATAAAATAAAATAAAATAAAATAAAAAATAAACATACATTTTGTTTTATCGTAATACATGCATGATAAAGCTGTAGACATAACTGTTACTTTTCTCGATTCTATATGAATACTCGAAGCAAAAACAAAACAGATGTACATACATAGAAGGATCAATTCGTTTATTTTCTTCTTCTGCTGCTTCTTCGTTACAAAATAGAAAGAAGAAAGAGAAGAAGAAAGAAAAAAAAAAAAAGAAAGAATACTCGAACTATTCTAATACTCGATGTTGATGACGTCAAATAGTAGAAGAAATCGAGCTTGTAACAATAACGTACTTGCTATGCTTGTTGGTATGTGTACAAACGTTGAAATCTGTTTTTTACATGACGAGAGTATGTCGATTGTCAATCAAAGTACTATTTATCGGATAATCTGGTTCTTCTTCTTTCTTTTATTCTCGACTGGAAGCTACATATATATATATAACAGACATCAAATGAATAGAGTGGCATCTACAGCTGTCTATATTTCAACCTTTTATTTAAAAGACATTTATCAAACAATAGAAGATAACAAGTGGTATCTATTGTTTTGATATATACACATATGTTTGATGTAATATAGTGTACAATTGACACTCATAACTTATTTAATATTTATCGTTTATATATAAATTATAAACAGATTTCGATAGTTATATTAAATGAATAATAATAAAAAAAAAAAGAAAGAGTATATCAAAATAATATTTTTTATTACTAATATGATAATCTGTTTATTTTGAAGTATATTCAATAGTTACAGAAAATAAAATGAATGAATAACTTTACTTATTGTTTTTTTTTTGCTTTAGG